ATGATGAAAATAATGAAACAATATAACAAAAAATTCAAATTTGCTCACCCATAGAAAATTTTACTTTTGAACCAAAAGACAATTAGCGTAATAATAAAGAGCATCCTGTCAATATTCCACAAGATCAACATGTGCTTGTACATCAGCTCCCTTGCTGAATGTCTTTCATGTCAGAATTTTATTATATATTAAATTTCATGCAATCAAATTAATTAAAACAGACTATGGTGTTAATGGAGTTGATGATCTAGGTGACAAGTCAATAGTTTGTCCTCTTTTAATTTTTATTTTTATTTTTATTTTCCATTCCAGAGTATTCCTTTTATATAAGGAGGAAATAGATATATGGGATAAATAATAATGCTTAAATATCTATACAGTAATAGTGTGAAATTGAAATATTATGGAGTGGGGTGAAATTCTGATTGGCTAATTTGAATTTCACACACGTAAATTTTATGTTTCACGAATTTTATATAAAAATAAAATTTATTATTTTTATTAAATCAACAGTCTATGAATGAAGTGAACCAAGGCTATTTATTTATGCTAATGTATACATGTAAGTTTTTAAATAATATGAATATTTACTATGAGAAATTATTTTTATTATTAAATATAAATATAAAATATCTATTATCTTTAACATTACTTTTTTCCAACATTTTATCAGAGATATCTTTTTTCATTGCAGATGAACATCTGGATATCCAATTTCGAATGGTTTCTACTTTTGGAATTTGTTCAAGTGTAAAATTATTATTAATATTTACTTCTTCAACAAGTTCCTGGTGTGTATCTTTGGCTTGTATCATAATTACCAGAATGAAAGTAGGTTTTAAGAAAATCTACAATTATTTTTTCCACAAACTTTTTTTCCAAATTTTGTTTCCCCTTAATTGCACATCCTAATTTAAGTGGGAATTTGTCTTTTATGCATTGTCTAAATTAACATACATATTAATATATCATGATCATTAAATTATATGGTTTTTATTATATATATATTCTTATCCTTCTTTTAAATTTAAAACATCACAGTGGAAAAAATCAGAATTCTGGAAGTTGCATGCATTATAAGTGTCATTATTTACTATAATACACCATCTAGAAGTTTTTCTAATATTAAAAGATTATCTAAACCAAATTCATTCACTCCAGAATATTTGGTTTTTTTTTTTAATTTTTTGATATAATGCATTAAGAGCATTACTTATATGATCTTTTTCTTCACCAGACCCACAAATATATCCTGGCTGACCTTCACTACCTTTAAAAACATGTACACTACCTGGACAAAAGTATTGGGACACCTGCAGATCATCACAAATAATTGGATAAAGTGACATGACAAAAACTAAAAATTTACTATCCTAATCACACTTTCTTATTAAGTAAAAATTAATCTTCATATCAAATACTATAATATACTGAAGATTTCACCGCATATAAATAAACCATTGTTGTTTTACAAACCTTAAAAGATAAAAATGAAAATTCTGGAATTTTCTGAAAAAAGTTTGACTCGAAAATTGACCACAATAGCAAGTTCTAATGACCTTTGTGGTATAAGTAAAAAATGTGTCTCATGCTTAAATCTAGTTACTTCTAAAATTTTAGGGCATTTGGTAGATTAATTAACAAGGGAAAAAATAGAACGTAAAAAATTTTACAAAACAATTCAACCTCAAACTGCTCACTAATTTGAAACATAAAAGACATCAAAAAATATATGAAACTACTTTAAATTGATTATATTTTATTAAAAAAAAATTTAATATCTTTTCAGATTTTCTCTAATTTCTAAAACAGCATTAACCCTTTGTGGCATACTATCTATTAATTATTAATGATCTTCAAAATTGGAAAAATCAATCCATCTAGTATTTTTGTCCATAAATTGAGAAATAATATGGCAAACTTTGTGAAATTCTGCAAATAACTAATTTCAAACATGAGAAACATTTTTTACTTATGCCACAAAGGTCGTTAGAACTTGCTAATGTGGTCAATTTTCGAGTCAAACTTTTTTCAGAAAATTCCGGAATTTTCATTTTTATCTTTTAAGGTTTGTAAAACAACAATGGTTTATTTATATGCGATGAAACTTATAATATTTGATATGAAGATTATTTTTTACTTAATAAGCAAGCGTGATTGGGATAGTAAAATTTTTAGTTTTTGTCATGTCACTTTATTCAATTATTTGTGATGATCTGCTGGTGTCACTATACTTTTGTCCAGGTAGTGTATATAGGAAAATCGACCCCTCAGATCAAAAAATTGATTTTTAGTAACAATCCTTTTAAAATTGGTTACATATATGTTTTTAATATACATTCCAAGCCCTATATCTCATTCCTCTACTAAGCAAACAAGATCCAATTTTTTATCCAATTGTAATCCTTGTATAATAGATTAATAAAAAAATCAGCAGAGATTTTCCTAGTCCAAATCCCAAATGTTGATTTAGTAACAAACTGTATAATCCAATAATTCAAATTCAAATTTTATATGATTTCTAGTTAAACAACTAATCATTTTAAACATACTAATCCAAGTATATATACAAAAGAAGATTAAGATTGTGATAAAAGTTAAAGAATTATTATTGCCATCATTGTATAAACCAATTTATACTGATTAATTTTACTATTCATGAGATTATTAAAATTCTAATTAATTATTTTGATAATAAATATTCCAGTATTTTACTACAAGTTTGCTAATTTCAATAAATCAATCAATACGAATTTGCTTTTAAAGAATATTTTATAACAATTACTAACATATCACCATCACCACTAATATTATCACAATCACAATCACCCACTACCTTTAAACAATATATATAATATGAGAATAATTTCTTAATAGTCCATCACCAACTAGGGCTCAAATTAGTGACTCATAAGTTAAGGATTTAAAAGGGTTGATTTGTTCTGACTTGTGTGAGTCAACTCATCAGTATCTTTAATTAATAACTATTTGACACAATAAAATTATAGGTTAATTGCCTTGATTTTCTTCTTTAACTAGTTTATTAGCTTCATTAATAACATCATCCTCTCTATATCATTAATCTTTTTATAAACAATCCTTAGAAAAATAAAACAGCTCTTCAATAATTAGTATTAGTCTCTTAGATGGATCAACATTCCTACATATTTTTCTATATAGGATTTCTGGTAAAATTGACAGCCTTAAGCCTCTAAAAATTAATGACAACCACATATTACCATTATGTAAATCACAATTGATTAGCCAAATAATTTAAAGATGATTTTTTTTGTAGATAGTCCCTTAAATTTCCTTCTAGAATGTGTTTTAGAATCATTGCATAATTTACATTTTTTGGGAATTTTGTTATATATACCATAACAATTAACTAACTATTAAAGTTGATTTGATTTTACAATAATTCAATGCCTGAGATTATATATATATAATTAATCAGTTAATTTTTAATAGAATACTATTGACCTCATCAAAAAAATATTTCCAACCTCATTTGGATTATTTAGTGATTTACATCTTGGGGTCCATAAAAATTAAATTCTTTTTTATTTTGATTTCAATCAATTAAAGTACCTCTTATCCATTTTGGTTTATAAATATTACCAAAGCCTCCTTGAATTAAATATTTCATGCCATTAAATTGATCATAAGATACCCATTCCACGATATGTCATTTCCAGAAGTCCAGGTATTGAAAAGGAGAATAATAGCACAATGATCACAATATTTATTTGAAATATTTTATAGATTTGCAATTCTTACATACTGTTTTATAAAGCACACTATTTAATTCATACTCTTAATTAAATTAGCACCTGCTCATTTCCTAACAATGATAAAAAATGTAATCTTTTGAAATTCTCCAAGATGTAATTGATTTTTTTTTGAATACCATTCATTTACGATTCATTTCATTTCATTTGAATTAAATGATTTTATTATTTAAAATAATTTTTGTTTTTAATCCAAAATTTATTCAATAAAAAAATAAAGTTTATTTTTTACTTTTTCACAAAAAAATATTTTTAATTACACAAAAATCCCACCCAATACTATAATCGAGTCAGGTGGTATAACAGGGATCTGTTTGCATATTGCCGTGAGATTAACTGTTTGTAGCATTATTAATATTAAATTTAATTACGTCAAGGGAATATACTATTAATATTAAACTCTAGATGATCAATTAATACTGTATGCCCTGCCTGATTTTATTTATTATTATTAATTAATTATATGAAGGAATTAAAAATTCACCAAATTTGGTAATGTAAATCATTTACTAAACAAGGGCAATCTTTTATTAACCAATGGGAGCATTTAATATGCTCACATGCTATCCATACGATTTCCATTTTAACATTTGCAAATAATATTAAAAAAGATCCCTTGAATGGCATTATAATAAAAATGAGAGAGTGAGTTTTAATTTATCAATTATCGAAATGAATTTTAAATAATATTGACCAATATTTTGTTTTATGATTGACACGTGGTGCTATAAGAGTAAGAAGATAAATACGCACAAAAAAAAATTTTTAATTTTTTTCTTCTCTTCTTTCCACATTTCTTATCCAATCGATATTTAACGTAAAACAATACATCAACCAATTAATTATCGTCTACATTGCATTTCTTTTTTAAAATTTGTAATTCATATATATAAATATAATAAATAAATAAATAAAAATAAATAAATATATTATTATCATTTATGTAAAAATATAAAAATTTATATTTAATTCTTAATTGTTTTTTCATCGGTAAATTCCTTTTTTTTTCTTAAAGAAGAATAACGAACGATTTTTAATCTTTAAACTTTACTTTTCTTAGTTAAGATTATTTTTCTCAACAAGATAAAATCGAATCATTTTGAACGGAAAAACAGAAATTTAAAAGGAGTAGTAAATACCGAACTTTGAGAACGTAGTAGAGAATCAACGATAAAAATTTAATAATTTGAAACGAAGTTAAAAATAATAATGAATAAGGTATTTATTTACTTATCTATTTTTATCTATTTATAGTCTTTTTTCAAAAATTTTTTTAAATTAATTATTAACTTTTATATTTTTTCCTTCGTCTCCAATATTTATTTAATAAAGACATCTCATCAAACAACTGGTTATCGTCCTATTGTGCCAGCTCCACCACAACAACCAATCATTATCACAACTCCAACTACCACTATGACTTCTAATTCTAGACTTGCCCCAATATCACCTCATCAATCACCACAGTCAAATCCAATTACACAAAATTATCAACAACAACATCAGCAACATTATCAACAACAATATCATCCTCAACATAATCAATATCAATATCAACAACCTCCGCCACCATTGTCACTACAACAACAATCACCTTCGCATCATCCTCATCAATATAATCAACAACAGCAACAATATTATCGTCATCAACAAACAACACCACCACAAAATCCTCATCAACATGGAGGAGTAACAGGGGGAGTGACTTTACCACCTTTCGAAACACCACCTGTTTCACCTTTTTCTCTTCCAATGCATAATAATGATCATTCAAGTAATCAAATAAATTTTAAACTTCCCCCACCAATTCTATCTCAACTCGGCAACAACAATAACAGTGTTTCCACAGAGCCTTCCACCAATAATAATAATAACAATAATAATAATGGTGAGAATAATGCAACTTCTGACTCTTCTTCTGATCCTTCTGCCGCTAATTCCACCGCCAACTCTTCAGTTGGTTCATCTTCAGCTTCAAAAAATTTTACTATAATAAATATGAATCAATCAAGATTCAATCCTATTCTACCAAAACAATCGCCAGCTCTACAACCCTCTTCTCAACAACCAACTACTTCGGTATTCTCATTACCTGTTACCCCAACTACTAATAATACATCAACAAATTCAAATCAAAATTTAATCAATAATTCTCCAATTATGCAAAGTGGTGTAGATGCTAGATTCTTAAATTCACCTCATTTATCTCTTAATAATAATAATAATAATAACAATAACAATAATAATAACAACAATAATAATCCACATTTAACTCACCCACACCATCACGCTCATAATAACTTATCACCTTTATCAATAAATCCACATCACAATCATCATCATAACTTGGTGCCGCCTCCATTATCATTACCATCACCACAACAACATCATCATGCTTCAATCTCATCATCGCCCGAGATTAATAACAATAATAATAAAATACAACAACAAAAACAGCAACAATTAACAACTGCAGATCAACGTGAAATGGCTAGGAAGGCATCACATTCGCAAATTGAGAGAAGACGTCGTGAACGTATTAATGACAAAATCATGCAATTAAGAGAATTAATACCTGGTTGTTCGGAACAAGAAAATATGCATAAACTTAGCGTGTTACAAAATGCTATCGAGTATATCGAGTATTTGCAAGCTATTGTTTTTGAATATCGTCAACGTGAAAATAGTAGTAGTGGAAATGGTAGTGGAGGTATTAGTGGTGATGACGAAGAAGCTAATAATAATAATAATAATAATAATAGTAGTAGTAGTAGTAGTAGTAGTAGTAGTAACACATCAAAATTTAAACCATCATCACCGTCATCATCATCATCATTGTATTCTTCTTCAATATCATCTTTATCGTTGTCATCTTCAAATATGAATCATGGATTAATTAGAAGTATTAAAAAATCAAAATTTAATCGTTACGAAATCCCTATACCAAAAAGTTTTCTTTCTGCCGGTAACACCACCACTGCTACTACTAATTCTAATGTAATTAGTAGTTCCACAATTAATTCCTATGAAGATTGTGAAGAATACAAACATAAACGAAGTTCTATTAGTTCTAATTCTTCTTGTTGTTCTGCTACTTCCTCTTCCGCTACCACTACAAATAATAACATAAATAAATCATCATCACCATCTAATAATAATAATAGTAATAATAATGATAATAGTAATAATGATGATAATAGTAATTCCAACCCTGACTCTAATGGTGACGGTGATAACAATATGATGGATATTGAGAATAATTATTCTATAAAAGAGCATGAAGAAGAAGCACAAGTTTTATTAATGCTATCCAATTCTTCAAGGAGTGATAATAGCAATAATAAGAGTATTGGTAATGATGATAATAATAATGATAATGTGGATGAAAGAACTACAGTAAATAAAGGAGTTGAAGATGCTTCACTAAAAGAACAACAAGTTGAGGGTGAAGAAGATAAAGAAAAAGTAAAAGGAGGAGTAAAAGATGAAGAGAAAAAGGGAGGTTATGATTTAGATGGTCAAAAACTTGAAAAAAAAAAAGATCAAGACGATCAAGAAGATGATCAAGATGGCCTAGAGAATAATCAAGAAGATTCATTATCATCGACAAATGTAAGAAGAGGAGGAATGACTGTTCAACATTTATTATGTTAAGATTTCGCTTTTTCTATTTATTATTGTATTGAAAATATGATTATATTTTTTTAAATATATACATACAGTTTATGAATGAAATTGTAAAAAATAAATAAATAAATTATTAACATGTATTTATTTTTTAAATACAAATAGCAATCAATTTTATTTATTTTTATGATGATTTATTATGATGTACATTTTTTCTTCCCTATTTATTTATTTATCCTTCGTTAGTAACGATAATAATTTTTTTAAAATTTTATAAGATTCTATGGTAAAATTTTTTTTATTTCTGCTAATAAATAAATAAATAAATAAATTTATTTTTATTTTTAAATTTTCCAACTATTCCAATCCACAAATGTATTTCACCACATATATATATATTATTATTAATTTGACTGTTATCCGCTACTATTTCCAGTGTCACTACCAGTTTTATCTTTTTTACCAGTTTGATGAGTGCGTTTACAAACATAGAAACACCTGGTATAATTCCAATTTATGAATCAGAAAATAATGATTACCCAAAGTTGTAACAATTTGGTGATGATAATCATTACCACTGCCACTTCTAATCTCATTACCACTGCCGAAATTATTATTAAAATAATCACTTTATTTAATACTTCCTTTGCCAAGATCACTACTAATGTTATCTTTACTAAATCCATTAACAGCAGAATTAAAAACATCTATAGTTGCACTTCTCTCAAGTATTGATTGTTGCGATGTTGATGATGCTGTTTTTAATGATGACGCTGACAAAGATGAGGATAAATATTCATTATAGTTTGATAAAGGCATCTTTATGGTGTTACAATCAAACAAATCCTTTGATTTTAAACGTGAATATTTTGCCAGCATATTAATTTCTTCCATTAATGCCTCATGTCTAAATATTAATCTAATATTTGGTGTATTTGTTATATGATAATAAATATGAACTTGGAAACATCAGAGAAATATTTATGCAAAAGTGTTTCCGCCAGGACCTGGCAAGAACCAATTTGATCCAAGCCAATGCTTCTTTAATGTCATTTCAAATCCACTTTGCAATATCGAGTTACGCGCCAATTCACGTATATTAGTTTCCAAATCTATTTTATAATATATCAGTTGTAAATATAAACATATTTAAATAATAATATTTACCCACAAAAATGCCTCCTGCGCAGTTATACTGTACTCTTCAATCAACGAATGTAATGAAATTGTAATGAATCATCAATCAGTACTAAGACTAATATTCAATCCTTTCTGAAAGAAACTCATGAATGGATTTCTTTCATAATTCAAAAACAAAGCATTGTTTGATAACAGCAACATTTCAATTCCAATTGTTTCAAATAATATAATAATAAATATTGTAACGCAGGAACTTTCCTCGACAAAATGCCATGTGAGATTGAATGTGATGTCAAAAAAGCTGATGTCAAATGATCAGTGTCACCTGCTTCACCGGCATGTGCTCTCAAAACAAAGGTATTGAATCCACGTTCTTTCCGCCACTGATCATATTTGCGAACATGTAGCATAAGTAGCAGGGGTAAGGCGGGTTGAGGTTGATATTCCATTATTCTGGTGCAGGATATTTTTTGTGAATAAGTTTTTCTGCTTTTGATTCGTCATCCACACTGATAAATCCAATTGCACGTTGTAAAATATGTGTAGCTCGAGATTTTTCTTGTAACTTCGTACAATGGTTCGTATAAATCATATTGAAAGAAATAAATTAAATATTTAATCTCTAATCATTAAACTCGTAATTCTTGTTTTATAATTATAATTAAATAGTATATATATACTTCTTATGACATCTTCGAAACTTTCAACAGTGTTAGTATTTTTATAGACACTATAAAGTCTAGGCATTTGAATCAACCATCTGACATTTGGCGAAAATATTTCGTTGTTTACCACCATTTTGCAAGTTTGCTCCATTCCGATTTTGATCTATATACAAAAATTGTTTGTGGCGATGAAATATATAGGCTAATCAATAACTTATAAATATTATGTGGATTTTTTATTACCTCCCATATATCGATACTCGATATTCAGCCATTTGATATTTACTTGACTTCAAATTTGCAATAACTTTTATATAATTTACAAAAAAAAACCCACATATATATATTAAGTAAATGAACAAATCGAATGAATAAATAAATCATTAATTAATCAACCTTTGGTTAATTCAGCTGAATATCTTCCTTCAACATAATTATCAGAAAAATTTCCCGAAGTCTAGATTCACCGAATGGATTGTATTTTAGATCAAATTTGTCAAATCTATGAAATGTATCTTTATGTGCCCATTATTATTATATACTACTATTATTAATGCGTACCTTTTTTTTTTTGTGTGTGTTTGCGAATAATATATGAGAGAAATATTGTCAATATTTACATGCATGCCCAGTGTGTCGATACTAAGATCGTAGCAAATATTCGATTCAGCCATTCCTTAATATTCTTTGAGCAGGGTATACATATTCTATTTACTTTCCAGGTATTGTAAGCGTCTATAAGCATAAGATTTTGTTGGGCCATCAGAAATCACATTTAATATAAAATCTAAATCCATAAAGTATTCTTTGGAGGATGGAATTGAATATATAGATGGTGGTGATGATGGTGGCGATGGCGATGGTGATGTTGGAGATATTGGAGATGTTGATGGTGATGATTTCTTATTATTGTTTTTAAGATCTTCCTTTAATTTATAAACATGATAAATTCCATCTACAGATAATTCATATAAATACTAGTATTATTCAATAAAACCAAGTTTTAACTCGATTAAATTCCTTTTTCCTTTTCTCTCCTGTTCACTTTCTCACATTCCTCCTTCTTTTCTAATATATAATTATCTAATGTTCATCAGGTATCTCACATCCTTCAAAATGAAAATCCTCGCCAATTATTTTCATTGCATTTTTTCTTTTTTATCATCATTGCCATGTTTTGCATAACCATCAACAGCAAATGATGAGGTTAAATTTTTGCTGATAACCAAGATGTGACAGGTGGTGGTGGATAAATTTTATAATCCCCATGATATTTCGGATTATCATCAAGTTGTTGTAATGACAATTTCATATATTTGTCACGTAATTCAAGACATTTATGAAAATAAAGAACTCCTCTTTGATTTGACTCTCTAATTAATATGAAATTCAAAAAATCAAAAATGCAATGATTATTATCCATAATAATTATAATAATATAACTATGGCTTACCAACAATTTTTATAGTATCATTAAATTTACAATTGCCAACTTCAATATCAACACCGTCTCCATCTTTATCATCAACAAAAGTCGTCACTGGCAATAGCAGAAGGTGCCGAATTTATAGATTTAAATTTTGGATCACGATCATCCTTACCACTATTATTTGCAATCGATTATATTCAGACGTAGTTGTCAATATGGTTTTAGATCTGCTTGTCCAATAAGCTGAATCATTCTTTATATAAAGTTAAAATTGATTTTATATTTTGAAATTTTTTATTAATCCAATTCATTAAAAAAAATTAGAAAAAATATCTCACACTTAATTGTAATCAACTTCTTCTTCATAGTCGTCTAATGGTGATGAATAATGAGTAATCTCATTGTTAGCAACCTCTTTATTATTATTTAATGGTGTAGTTGGTGTTTTTTCTTCTTTTGTTGACATTCTTCTCAATTGTTATAACAGTGGAGGTCATATAATACTATTACTGTTTACTATTACTATGTTGTAAAACTTTACACAATATCTAAAACGTGATTTATCAGTAAAGCTTCAAGTAGAGGAATTATTTTGACACCAAGATCTTATAGATCCATTGAGATAAAGCTGTGTAACATGGTCGTTACTATCGAGTTTTTTACCATTTCTACCCTTATACAAAAGTAAAGAGTAACATCATCAAATTTTATTTTTTAGATAACATTAAATATATATAAATAATGAGGAACTATATATTCTGACAAAATTCATCAACATAGCCTTTAAAGTGGACCCAGGATGACAAAAATAAATTTTCTAGCATAGAGCAAATCCCCTAGATTATCTATAATCAATTAATATTAAACGAAATTGCGTTCAGATTCCAAGTACCGAAAAGACTCTGTGGAGTAGACCAATACACTTTTCACAAAATCGATCAGAGTATCTTGTTGCTCTTTACACTTGTTATATTACCATTTTTATACATGACTAATTGTAAAAAATAACCTTTTCTCCATTGCCAGTATAAATTTTAATCGCCTATTTTCTTGGCTTTAAAAAGTTTTTAAAATACGACTTCTTTCAATATTTGCTTTTATCAGTAAAATAATTTGATACTTTTGTTTAAAAGAGCGACTTTTGAAAAAGAAAATTATTATTGTAAAATATTTCTTTGCTGGTGAATCACCAGGGAATAATGGATGAAACACGTAAAAGGTTGACCTTGGGCACGGAGGACAATAAATCAATTATTAATAATAAAAATAATGTGATTAAATGTTTATATGATTAATAATTTAGGAAAGTTTACAACACCAAATCCACACACAGCAAGTACTTGGGCTATAAAAGAATAATTTCACAATCATTCCAATTCTCCTTTCTCATAAGAAGCCTTCAATATTATACGGGGATCTTTTTGAGAAGCCTCGACTATGCAACAGGAAAAATAATTCTTACTAGTTTATCTTTATTATATTAAATAAAAAATCATCAATGCTGTGATTCTAGACACTTTTGAACCCCATAAACAGTTTCATGAGAGAGTATACCTTAAGCCCAAACCTAAAACCCTACTATAATAATAAATTAAGAATCTCGGTCACAGTATTGGTATGGATGGATATTGAACAAGCTAGTAAATTATCGCTAGGAACTCTCTTGTTGGTGAGATCTTGAGTCTGAAACTTCAAAGTATACTCGGATGTCTGGTTGTCGGCCATGCATCATTGGGGTGAGCGGTCAACTAATTAAATCAAAACTATGTATGGACCCATATAAAATTTAATATTGGAATTTTTTTA